CTAGCTCAGAAGATCCATTACGCTAACTGCTGGTTCCCTGTAGCATTTCTATATACAAACAGCAAGCAAACTGAGATAGAACTGAAGAAAGTAATTCCATTTACCATAGCCACAAAAAGTATAAGATACCTAGGAGTAAATCTAACCAAAGAAGTCAAAGACTGCCACAAGAAAAACTACAAGAAGCTAGAAAAAGAAATTGAAAATAATGGAAATAAGTGGAAAGACATCCTATGTTCCTGGATTGGAAGAATTAATATAATCAATATGGCATTTCTACCCAAATTAATCTACATATTTAATATAATCCCAATGAAAGTACCAGGGTCATTCTTCACAGATCTGGAAAAAACAATCATAGAATTTGTTTGGAATCAAAAGACCCCATATTCTAAAGCCATGCTGTGCAAGAAGAGTAGAATAGGAGGCATCTCACTCCCTGACCCAAAAATGTATTATAAAGCTGCGATAATAAAAACAGCATGGTATTAACATAATAATAAACATGTGAACCAGTGGAACAGAATAGAGACCCTGGAAATAAACCCCAAAACATACAGCCAACTGATTTTTGACAAAGGATACCAGTCAGTCTAGGAAAAACTCGGTATCCACCTGCAGAAAGATGAATCTGAACCCCTACCTCTGACCATTGACAATAAATCAACTCTAAGTAGATAAAAGATCTAAACCTAAGACCTGAAAATGTAAAACTACTGGTGGAATACACTGGGGAAACTCTGGGAGACATAGGGATAAGCCAAGACTTATTAAATACGATCCCTAAAGCACAGTCAGTAATCCCCAAAATAGACTAGTGGAATTATATCAGATTAAGAAATTTCTACAGAGCAAGAGACACAGTAAGTAGTGTGAATCAACAACTCTCAGAATGGGAGAATATTTTTGCCAACTATGCATCAGATAAGGGACTGGTAAACAGAATACACAGGAAACTCGAGTGGTTAACTTGAAAAAAGATGATCAACCCAATTAAAAGTTGGGAAAATGAGCTGAAAAAACAACTCTCTAAGGAAGACATATGAACAGCCAAAAGGCATATGAAAAAATGCTCAACATTCCTCATCATTATGGAGATGCAGATCAAAACCACAATGAGATACCACCTAACTTCAGTCGGAATGACTACTATTAAAAAAACAAAAATGTTAAGTTTCTGGTGGGGGTGTGGTGAAAAGGGAACTCTCCTACACTACTGGTGGGAATGTAAATTGGTCCAGCTATTGCAGAGAACAATTTGGAGATTCCTTCAAGATCTACAAATAGAACTACCATATGATCCAGCAATTCCACCCTTTGGTATCTACCCAAAGGACAGGAGAACAGTTAGTTGGAATGGTGCTGCACTTCTATGTTTATTGTAGCATTATTCACAATTGCTAAGACATGGAACTAACCCAAATGTCCAAGGACAGGAGAATGGAATGAAAAACTGTGGCACAGGGAACCAGCAGCGTAATAGCTATGTCGCTGGACTCCCACGTGGTCGACCGCGGTTC